ACAAAGTTGTTTACTAACAAAAAATTATGAGTTTTAAATCATCTAATCAGTTTACTTGTTGAAAACAATCATGAATTTTAAGATAATTCTTATTTATTCCATTTTTTCAAAAATAAATACCAAACCGCTACCAAGTTACGCTCCAATTTAATTCAGAAATATTGTCGTTAAACAAATCCACTGGCATCTGGTAGTGCTTGGGTAAAACCATGGACTTTTTTTATTTACGGGAAACACGCCAATGATGACAATGAAAGATAAGTCAATATTGCGTGATTCCGTACAGCTAATGGTCTTATAATTGTTTGTCAAATTAATTTATTTCAGACTATAAATTAACTACATTTGCTTTTTACTTAACCACCTAGAGAATTACTTATTTATTGCATATATGCCTGTACTTTATACAAGTAAACATCAGCTGAGTAAACAAATTATCAATTCAATAATATTATATATTCTTAAGTTCGCGTTCTGCTTTTAATACAACATAAAACTCGGTAAAGTACGAAATTAAAAAAACTAACCTTTTAATTTAAGTAACTTCAGATCTGTCTAAAAATATCAACACTGGATTCGTTCACACAAGCTATCTGTCGTTATATTTATATATGACGATTTCATGGAATTATTTTAAAGGCATTTTCTACGTTATCGCGTAATTTTTTCCCTATCCCTTTTAGGTTTACTTCAGTTTTATACATCAAACTTTTCATATAATCCTGCAGGTAATATAATATATCCACGAGTTAGTTATTTAAATAGCAGGTTTAAAACACAACAATATTTATATAATTTTTCACAGAAATGTATTCAAAATCTTTCAAATGACTTTTCCGTTAACTTCAAGATTTCAGATAAATGCTACCCGAAAATTGTGCTTATTTCGTTGAGTCTTACATCGTGTCAAAAATTAAAAAATCTCGTAGAATAATATTACAATATGCAACCGATTGCTAAAATCTTAGTTGTTTCAATTGTTTAAGCTCTTAATGAAGTAATGAATTGTGGACTAGACTAGATGATTTTATTTAATTTATCTTTTCTCTTTTTTATTTTCAGTTTATTATCTTTCCAGTTTTGCCCACATATCCACTGCGGATGCAAATGCTTCAGAGTTACCATTTTTTTAAACACGAAGAAAATTATATTGCTCATATTGGTCTTCAAAAAGGGAATACTGATAATTTTTTGCGGTACCAAATGACTTACATTATTAAAATGGTGTATTTATTTTGTCCAATAATTTTTTTAATGATACTTCAACGGAAAATGTCTAAGAAAAAGTCGGTTACATAGCGCCTATACGAAGCAATATGTTAAATGAAAAACTTAAAGATGCCGTAGAATTGTACCGAACATGATTTTTACCGTACATGTCGGAGTAAATCTTAATTTTGAGATCTAGAACACCTTGATGATGACACAGTGAAAATTTCCACTTCTTCACTTTACTGGACTACACCTGGAAGGAGCAGCGTTTCCTGCACAATGGAATTGTGAAATCTGTTGATATTCATGTTCATCACTCTAGTTGAAGTATTAAGGCGAATTTACACGATGCAATTTGAATGTAAATCGAGGATGATTCATCAAAGATGAAATAATGTAAATAACGTTTCATCCAAGATAAACAGTTCTGCCTTTTCACTATCGGTTTCACCCTTAGATGAATCATCCTGGATGTACATCCAAATTGCATCGTGTAAATTTGCCTTTAATCAACTAGTGAGTGATTTTCGTCTCCTTTTGATATTATCTTTGACGAAATCGTTGAAATTCTAAATATAAGCTATGGTTCTGTATACATGAGGTTCTTCAGTTCCACAAAGTGACAATAAGAGAGTGCTTCAACAATTGTATCTATAACTGAAACAACGACGTGTTGTTTCAAATGAACATTTGAATTTTTGTTCTTTTCCTAGCACTTTTTCGTGAATTTTTACTATTTTTGACCTGTTTTTGGAAATTCCTGTGATGTGATAGCTCAATTCTGACATCGGATTGGTGATCAGGAGGCAAAAATACTACGGATAACATATGTCGCATAAAAAGTGCAGGAAACTTTTTTTTGTGTGGCTGTGTATCAATCGTTTTGTTGATGATGTTTTTATTATTTGGGGCATTTTACAATCTAATAGCAAATGTTAACTGATTTCTCATCTCGAGACTCGAAGAGGAGAGGTTATAGTTAAGGTGGATTGACTAGAACAGGAAGGTATATTTGAGGAGATATCGCTGGTGCCTTAATCAGAAATGTTACTACTTTTTTTTAAATTTTGCCATCTTGGGTTTAATCCCACGTTTTCTTTGCTTAAGTTCAGATCATCTTTAATTTCTATGGTATTATTTAGCATAAAATATCTTGACAATATTGTATCTTATATTATTTTAGTGAATAAAAAAAACGATATTTGACTGAATCTCGTATTTATTATTACAAATAAACATGTTCTTGCATACTAAGCTTAAAACAAGGTGTAATTAAATGTTGCTTATACCATTGTTCTGAAAATGTATGTATTACTAAGCGTACTTAATAATAATCGTTGAAAAAATCTTCCATGGTATTGTTTTTATTTATTTTAGTTTGTCAGACGAACTCACGACTTCGCGTGTAGGTTCAAGGTTAATAGTTCCTTATTATTCCTAACACACAGTATGAGTCACTCATGTTCTAAATCAGAAAATTAATTGTTACGGAAATTTTTTAATAAAATAATATGTAATATCTGAACATGCTTTTATAAGGATATTTTATGTATATAATTATTATTTGTGGTACTAATAGGTTTTTATTTATTTTTTTTTGTCGTACTAAAAAGAAACAGAAAATTAAAATGTTTATAAAATTTTAATAAACAATGAGACAGTTTCTTAAATGGAAAAATCATTCAAGGGGTTATTTTTACCGAAGCATATTTTTGCCGAATCAGACACATTACATTGAGATAATGCCCTTAATTGCAAAAAAAAACATTATAACACCTCAGAAGTTTAGCTATCGAAAACTTTATTAGTTTCATAATCAAAACATTAAGTGAAAATAAGTGAAAATCACAGATACCGATTTTTTATTTGTATGTATTTAATTATCTTGTTTGTTTCTGCTAATAAATATTTCCGAATATTATTTTATAATACATTTTAATTAGTTTTAATTCAATTTTGCACCTTTTACATGCATCGCTTTTGTTACAAATGTAAGTGTTTCTGGACTGAAATGGTTAACAACCTCTTGTTATTTTAGGCCGTACCCCCTGACGCTATACAACATCAACACAATATTCAAATTATCTTACGACAGTATATACAAAGTGATTCAGAACTTGTCCAAAAAAAATTCTGGATGTACAGGGGACCCTTACAAATACAATTTTGTAAAGAATAAATCAAAAAGTGCAGTTCGAAAATGATTTAAAAATACACTTCTGTACGGCACTGGAAACTGGTCCACTGTAAAACCTGACCTGGCACACAATGCGACCGTCAAGGCGGCAGTGATAAAAACAGGCAAAAACTTGAAAGAATTTTGCAAGGAAAAGAATAAATAGAATTTTATAGGACCTATTTTATATCAGCAATTCAACTGATTTTGCCGCTATTGTTATTATTAATTAATAAAATTCATTTGTGGTTTTAAATAATAAAATAATTTGACATACCTGATGTTACAATAACTGTTTTATGTCCAACGACGTGTTGACACATTTGGGTCCGTCTTACTCAGTTTCTACGAACTAACACAAATTCTGTCTTGTTTCACCATAACACAAATACTTCACCATAATACAAATGTTTTCTTGCTTTACCATAAACTAATCTAAAACAATATCCATCAACTCCGAGTTGCTGTACAAGCAAGCCATTTTTGACACTAACTACTAAAAAACTATTATAAACATCGGATTTCAGTATTCGGAGTCGTTGAGGTCACGTGGCTCTCCAGGCGTATTACGAATGACACTAGAGACTACAGTTGTCCAGCTATGCAATGGTTGAAAGCACTACAACTTCAATAATTTTTTTCTTGGAAACTATAAAGATTTGACAATTTTTTTTTAGAATTTGACTCCATTTCTCATGCCGCATCTATTCCCAAATTTTTTTGGATAAGTTGTGAATCACCCTGTATAATAAATGAAGCCATGCCGTAGAAGAAGCTAAACTAAAAAAAAATATGGTCGCATAATCGGGGCGACATATTTTGATGTTACGTGAATATTGTATTGTCTTGAGGCTGGGTGCTAAATTAGATAAATTGAAACTATCACATAGAGGACGTTGACCTTGGAAGTGAAATTTTTACATCAAAGTATGCCTTGGTATAAATAAAAAATGTCGATTTTATTTTTTCTGTATATAAAATAACAATCGATTCTCCAATCATATATCTTATTTACTTATATACACAGCTTCAAAAAGAAAGTCTTGTAAAAATGACCAGAATACATTATTATTTGTAGGATTTATAACCCTATGGGCCAAATCTGACTTCGAATTCGTGTTCAGCTGGTCAAGATACATGGAAACATAAAGATCTGACCACTACATAGTTTCAGCCGTTAATAAATTTTAAACTTTAATTGCTGATTTGTCAATTTTGTGTTTTTAAGCATTTTCTTGTTTAAGAATATTCTGGTGATTTGTTGGGGCAATTCTGTCACCGGATTCGGATTCCGCGGGTCCAAATATACTGGAATATATAGGTCAGACCACGATTTTCAAACACTATTAAATCATACGTGGATCACAGAAGTAATTTATTAATTTTGTGAATTTTTAAAATTCTTTTCAGGTTAGGAAGGATTTGTAACCTTATGGGAATAATGTATTCTCATCACTTGCACAGGACTTTTTTTTGTGAGCTGTGTTATCCGAAAAGTAAACATTTTTGTTAGACACTATTTCATTACAATACACATAAAAAGTGTTTATAGTACATTAATATTTACTAATAATCGGTTGTTTTTATTTAAGTATTTACTCTTCTTTTTCAGGATCGAAGATGATTTTGAGGAGCGTAAGCGGCGAATTCAGGTCAGGTCAACTTAATGCCATCTTGGGGCCGTCTGGTGCTGGAAAAAGTACCTTACTTAATATTCTAGCCGGATATAAGTAAGTGAAAAACTGAATTCTGCACAAAAAACGATTCGCGTAATTACTAATTTTGAAATAGCTTAAGTAAAATTTCAATGATGGTTGTTGGAATAAAAATGCGATAAAATGGCAAGTATTGGATGACTGAATGTATATCTATGGCAAATTCAAATTAAACTGGACCACTATAGACTCTGACAGTCAAAGTTAAGACGATTGTGGTGAAATCAAAATTGTTCATTACTTTTATAGTACATACAGGGTGATTCATTAACAATGGGAAAATCGAAAGCTGAAGATACTACACGTGAAATGGTGACCATTGGCGCAAACATGCCTTATCCGAAAGTTGACAGTTTCGGAAATACAGGGTGTTGAAAGTTAAAATTTTAAATCGTTTTTTTGCGATTATTCTGAAAATATGTAGGTTAGGAACTTGAAAATTTGTGAAACTATATTTTTTTAGGCGACGAATAAGATGCGTGTTGTAATTTCAGCATTGCTCGTAGAGGGCGCCAATTACGACCAATTTTACGGAAAATTTAGTTAATAACTTTTTACCCTGTATGTCTAACATGAAACTTGATTCCAAACCTGAAAGAGCAATCATTTTTCCATTAATTGTGTATTCTTGTTTCATTTCGGTATCTCGATCCGTTTTCGAGAAAATTCGATTTAACGAACACTATGTTCTGATAATACGAGAAATTAAAAGCGAAAGAAACCAAGTGTTTCTTCGTGTTATTACAACAATTAACAATAAAACAAATGAAATTCGTAATAATGATTTAAAGTCACTGTTCGAAAAATCCACCATTGACATTTACACACTTTACACAACGTTTTCTGAGAGATCTTCGAGTTTGAAACAACATATTGGGATTGCGTTTGACTTCGTTGGCAGCGATTTGTATTCTTTGCCACAACTCTTCACACGAAACAATAGATTCTTCCAAATAGAAAAATGAAGAGGATTTACGTCCGGACTTCTGGGTGGTCAAGTAAAAATGCTTCCATGGCTTCCACTTTATTTAAGAAGAGATATGTGGTTCATGCACGACGGAGCTCCACTGCATTTTTCTTGGCCAGTGCGTGCATATTTAGATGCAGTTTTTCCAAATCTCTGGATTGGCCATGTAATCATTTTTGCTTGGCCATCCAGAAGTTCGGACTTCAATCCTCTTGATTTTTCTATTTGGTCTCGAATGAAAGATATAGTTTACAAAGAATCTATTGGCTC